TCGGTAAATACGTAGTGCCGCACGGCAGTATAGATTTGGATGGACATACGAAATTATACGTATTAATTTTGGTTTGATTTTTTTATAAACCATATTTACTAATATAATTTCCACACGTCCGTTCTAATTTACATCTTTTTTACTATACTATATATTTATTATATACTCTTTTATTCTGAACATTATATATTAATTTAATCTTTAAATTTTGTTAGATTGATGACAATTCACTTTAAATACTGTATATATGTATATGCAAAATAAATAAAAACGGGTAGTGTTTGACGATTAATATTGTGATCAAAAAGATCATTTGTTAAAGGTAGTGAGGTAGTGATGACTGAGAATAGTATGGAATTATTATTTAAAATATAATACGGCAATAATTAAAAGATCAAGTTTTACTAGCAATAAATTATTTATTCGTTCGAATATTAATTTTTTGAATAATTTTGATTGGCTGATGGTCATGTTTTGATCGATATAATTGCTGACTCGGGATAACCAATCATTTAACTGTCCCTGCTATAACACATGAGTGATAATAGTATGAATCAACATTGTGTACCAGGTTCAAGATATTGTGCCTTAACATTTTGAATATCTTATAACGACAGGGATTTTAAAAGCAAATTGAACACTCCAAGTATTAATCACTCCTAGCAGATATTTACTGTTTTGTGAACGTATGAGTGGTAATAGTATGAGTCAACGTTGTGTACCAGGTTCAAGATATTGTGCCTTAATCTTATAACGGCAGGGATTTTAAAAGTAATTTGAAAACTCCAAGTATTAGTAACTCCTAGCAGATATTTACTGTTTTGTGAACGTATGAGTAGTAATCGTATAGGTCAACATTGTGTACCAGGTTCAAAATATTGTGCCTTAACATTTCGAAATATCTTGAATAAAATAGTTCAAATTTAAATCGGAACAAGAATTTAATAGAAACAATAATAATACGATTGTTTCTTGTTATTATTTATTTTACTAATGTCAAAAAATCAAAAACTTAACAGTAGACGGGCGGTAAAGGAATCGTCATTTTAGCTTTGTTTATTTTTTATATATAAGCCTAAAAAAAGAACTTGAAATAATCGATAAAAAAAAATGTCTTCTGATCCTAGTTCGTCTTTACAGTCTCAAAATTCCTCCGATAATTCAAATGCAACCTTACCTGCTAAAAAAACTGTTCGTAAAATAAAAAAGAGACGTGCTACTAATGTAGCCCGTAATAGTTTTGTTCATCATTTTTATGAAGAGGATTTGGATTTACGAACTGCTCAATGTAAAATTTGTATCGAAAAGTTCAAAGATACAGACACTGAAGCTTATATTTATCAAACACACGGCTTGA